ATGGCAGGATACGACGCCCTCGAAGCCCTCCCCACACCAGTCGAGGATCTGCCGGAGGCGTGTGCGGTGCTGCCCGCCTGCCTGGCTCTCCCCGATCAGGGCAGAATAGGTGGCGAAGAGGACGCCCTCTGAGGTAGTGTTGTCACCGTATTTGATCTGAGAACACAGGGGGCAATTGTGGGGAGGGGAAGTGGCTCACTGGGCACTCTGGCCAAGCCCAGGCCCTCCCCAGGCATCAGGTTCCCATTCATACAGGGATCTGGGCAGAGCTGCCTCATCAACCCCTACATGCCCCAGGGGAGTGTGGGTGCCCACCTTGCTGAGTGCGTGTACTGGGATACCAGGTGCCTCGATGTCACGTAGGTCCCGCTCTGCATCATACTTGAGGTCGTTGGAGACACTAAACCTGGGAGTGGGGGACATCAGACTTGCCCTCTCTGCCCCACCTGCCCCCGCCAGGCCTGGCGCTTACCACAGTGCCTTCTTCCTGCCGCGCAGATGGTTTTCCAGGATGACGCCAGCCACTGTGCGGCCCTTGCCCACACCAGCCCCATCGCCAATAAGGAAGCCTGCCCGCTGCCCACTGGGGAGCAGAACCTCGTGTTGCTATTGGGATGGAGTGGAGGATGGTGGTCAGGGCCTGGTGGTGGTGCATGACTCTGCATCCCCACCCCAGGGACTCTTCAAGGAAGGAATGAGGTGGGCAGGGACAGTGAAGATAGCCACTGGTCACCTGGCAGGCATAGGTGATGGCCTCCAGCTGCAGGGCAGACAGAACTCCACTGTCTGAGGGCAGGGCCAGGGTGTAGATGATGTCTGGGGGTGGGACGCTGGACAGTGTGCTGGTCTCCACCACACGATCAGGGTGCTGCTTCCCAATCTTGGCTGGAGAGGAAGGGATATGGTTATGGGCCTGGCCAGAGCCAGCTGGGTAAGTTGATGTGTGGTCAGTGGCTGCCAGGAGGTTTGGGGGTGTGGTCAGGGGCACGGCCAGGCTCTGCCAGGTGGTTTGGGGGTGTGGCCACAGGCATGGCCAGACAGCCAGGGTAGGTAGGTGGCATGGCCAGAGACAGAGAAGATCCCTAAAATCCTAGTAGGAGAAGCTGAAGCACTTCTGTAATTCTGGCCTCTGGGAACCCTGGGTTTTGTATACACTGTAGAACTGGCCCCGCCTACCCTACTTCCAGCTTCAAGGGCCCAAGAATCAAATATCCCTGTGGGGCAGTGCAGGCTGGAGGGAGCTGGCTGGGCCACTCACACTTGGATGGCACGTAGTCAGCATAGGTCTCAGTGTGGCCCAGCTCCTCTGCCTCGTCCTCCTCTGCCTCATCTTCCTCCTCGGGCTGACTCTGCGGCTGTGATGGGCAGCTTCAGCAAAGCCTGTCCGGTCCCTACCACGGGCACCGCACAGCCTTCCCCCAGGGGCAGGGGCCTGGCTGACTGAATGGCCAGCCCACCAACCCAATTTGTGGGAGATGGTGCGGCCTGCCCCATTGTAGCAAGGAAATAGCCTCACTTTCCCCATCTATAAAATGGGCACTGCCTGCTTCTAGGCTGGCCCAAGGCTGGCAGACTACAGGCTTGTATGTGTGAGACACACCCCGCCCAGTCCCATGAGAAAGGCAGGCCCAACTTACCTGGTAGCTAACAAGAAGCGGGGTGCTGGGGAGGGAGGGCACAGGGTCCTCAAGGCCTGGAAATGGCCCACTAGGCAGGAATAGCTGGAGGGGAGCAGGATGTCAGCCAGGCTCAACAGGGCAGGCTGTGGCCAAAGATCCCACTAGCCCAGCCACCAGAAACAGATTTCCCTGCCCTGGCTCACTATGGCCTTGGGCCATGCACTCCTGCTATCCCCTGTGTGGCCTGGTACACCTGTGGCCTCCCTGCTGGGAAACTCCTTTGGGCCTTGGCTCAATCTTGCAAGCCAGTACCAGCTCCCTCCTGCTGCCCTCCTGGCATATGTGGAACTGGCCTTCAGGAAGGCCTTCAGAAGGTGCTAGTTCTAATACACAACAGCCCCTTGCCTCAGTCCAGTGGGAGATGGCAGGGCAGCTGAGGATGGGGTTGGAGGAGGTGAGACTGTGCCAGCACTGTTCGGGGGCAGGGGGCACTCAGGAGAGGGGAGGATGTGGGGGCTGGGAGCTCCCCATCCAGGGGCAACATGAGCCAAAGGCCAGCAGAACCATCTGAATAGGTAGGTATAGGCCTGGTCTCATCTCTCGCCTGGCTAGCTTCTACTGCTGAGGGGGTTGGTGGGGGGGCCAAGGGGAAGTCCCTCACTCTCTCTCCACCATGGGTGAAGGCTCCTGACACAGGGATCAGAGGACACAGCCCACAGCCTGATTTCATCGTAGTTGACAGAGAGCAGTACAGAGAGTAGGACAGAGGACAGGACAGGGTACTAGACAGAAGACAGGAGAGAGGGATGGATAGGAAGGAGGCTGGACAGAAAGCAGAACAAAGGGATGGACAGAGGACAGGAGAGAGTGATGGACAGGGGGCTGGACAGAGGGCAGGACAGAAGGCTGGCCACAGGCACTGCCTCTGAGACTTGGGCAGCCAGGTGTGGTTGGGCCTCTGGGATGAATGTGTGAGCCCTTGGGGAACATGGCCCATTCTGAGGTCTCAGAACTAACTAAGCTCAAGAGCCTATGGATGGCTAGGACAGGAGACCCAGATGCCTTGGGGTGAATCAGAACGCAGGCCCTAACCTGCCTGCCCAGGGAAGGATGTAACCAGTAACATCCATCACTTACACCAAGACACTGAAGGTGGGAGCTAGGATTTTAAGACATACCTGCTATTTAGCAAACAAAGTTTATTAACAATGACAGTTGCTCATCATAAATAGATGTCAATGTGAAAAAACAGCAAGAGGAAAATCACTTCTAGACCCACACCCCTACCAGGATGCCCAATATCCTGAGACACTGGGGGGGTAGTTTTGAGCACAGTGGATAGTCTTGGGGTCTCCCCTGGGAGCTACAGGGGCCCTAGGGCATTTGGTTGAAAGCTGATTAACTTGACTCTCATGGCTCTTGTTTTTTTCTAAAGTTGGACATACTCCCAAAGTTTTCATAAAAGAAAATGGAAGTGGGGCACAGGATGGTTAGAAACCTATACTCAATTCTCTGCTCTTTTTTTTTTTTTTTAAATTAACAAAAACAAACAAACAGGCGTTGCAGGGTTCCTGGAAGGCTGAGTCACTGTTCCCAGCTAGGCTGGCCAGGCTCTGGGGCATTGGGTTTCAGATGCCCTTGCACTATCCACTGTAAGTTGCCTGGGCCCTGGCCCCTTCTCTTGTGCCCTGCCATGAACCAGTAAGCAGCCAGGATGGCATGGGTCCCTATTCAAGGGGAATAGTCTAAGATGTCCACTGTAGCTACAGAGCACTCCAGACACTTCCTGTTCCTGTGGGGGCCCCATGTTCTCAGCTTATATGCCCTGCTGTCTAGGCCAGACCCTTCCTGAGGGTCCCAGGGAAGCCTTCTACCAATATCCACTGAGGAGGGCCACTTAGCCCGTGGACACATTTCCAACTTCCAGCTCCTTAAGTCTAGAAGCCTCACTCCTGGAGGAAGACCCTGGAATGGCAAGAGGGAAATGTGGGGAGCTCCCTCCCTCAGAACAGACACCCCCACTGCCTAGTGCTAGGAATGGGCTGGAGTCGTCCACTCTGCCTACTGCCCTGCTGCCCCTGACCCCCCAGGGCTGGCCTATATTTCACACCAGAAGCTACACAGTGGCAAATCTCAGTCCTGCCCCAAGGACGACTGAGGTCCTCTCAACAAGGAGGACCATGTCTGTCTGACTTTCCACCCAGCCCTGGGAGGGACACTGACAACCTGGCCCTCAGAGCTCCTATGTGACCAAGTGCACGGCTATCAGGAGCCCCTCAGGTAGGTAAGCTCAATAGGACCCCTGTGGGCACTGCCCCTCCCTGCCTGCCTGCCTGCCTCTCTCTATTCCATCCCACGCCTAGTGCTCTGTATAGCAGGGTCTTTGCTCAGCTCTGTGGACACTGGGGTACCATTTCTCTATGAGGTGCTGAGCAGCATCCCTGGCTGCCACCCATCCTATGCCTCAACCTAGTTGTGACAACCACAGATATCCCCAGACATGGCCTGATGTCCCCAGGGGGCAGGTGCCTGAGAGAGCTGGTATCCAAAATGGCTGGGTGCAGTGACTCACAGCTATAATCTAAGCACTCTTGGAGGCCAAGGTAGGTGGATCATCTAAGCTCAGGATTTTGAGACCAGCTTGAGCAAGAGTGAGACCCTGTCTCTACTAAAAATAGAAAAACTAGCTGGGCATTGTGGTGGGCACTTGTAGTCCTAGCTACTTGGGAGGCTGAGGCAAGAGGATTGCTTGAAAAGTTTGAGGTTGCTGTAAACTAGGCTGACTCCAGGGCACTCTACCAGGGCAATAGAGTGAAATTTTGTCTCAAAAACAAACAAAAAAAAACCTCTCCAAAACGCAAAATGGCTTTTTGCTCATCTCCTAGGTAAGTATCTGTTTCCCCAACAGGGATGGGACCTGACCTGCCCCAAGGTTTGTACAAGAATGAGGGGACCCCCTCCCCACAAATGGCCACCTCACCCATGTCAGTTAACAGCTGACCTCCCTCCACCTCACTCATCTTGTAAGAAGTGGATCTTAGATGATGCCCTATAGGTCCCCCAGATAGGGGTTGGGTCCTGGGCCAGGCTCCGGTGCTAGGCAGGGTCCAGAGGCACTGACCTTGTCATGGGCAGATGAGGCGGTGCTCACATCCCAAATGGTGGGTACCTGACTGAGGCTGTCAGCTGGCAGGAAGTCAGGTGTGTCCACGATGTCCGACAGGGAGTCCACAGAGGAGGAGAAGATGGAGGCATTGGAGAGGTCCTCGAGGTACGAAGAATCCTAGAGGACAGTCACAGGTGAGGGGAGTAGCCAGTATCCACTAATAGGTGGGCAACAAGCAACATGGCCCATCCACACACTGCAGTATCTCTCAACCATGAAAAGAAATGAGGCTCTGACATAGGCCGGAGACCTTGAGGACACCTGTGTTCAGCGAGAGAAGCCAGATACAGAAGGATACACTGTATGCGATTCCTTTTATATGAAATGCTCAGAATGGGCAGACCCACAGATTAGTGGTTGCTAGGCATGTAGTTGAGAGCCCCAAACTGTAATCATTAGTCTTGGTGGGGAATGACACCCCTGGGTGCCCAGGGCCACACTAGCAGAGACAGACCATGCCGCAAGTAGGGACCCTAGACTGGAGGGCATGAGTGTAGCCTTCCCTGCCAGGTGGCCCTCCCAGAGCCCGTCAACATATATCCTTAAGGAAACCGCCAGAAAGACTGTCCAAAAGCACCCAAGACAGGGACATCTGAGGAACTCCCAGAACCCAGAGGGACCCGAGAGGGCATGACAGGGAAACTGAGGAAGCATGGGCTCCAATCCAAATCCAAAATCAAGCATGGGCGCCAATCCTTAGTAATAACATATCAGTTCTGGTGCATCAGCTATAACACAGGCATCAGGGGTAGAGTGCACAGGACTCTGCGCTTCCTGCTTTCCCATCATCCCAACACTTTTAACAGGCCATGTGGCAGCTCTCTAGCTTTGTGATTATGGTCCCTGGTTCAGCACCCTTCCTGTTCCCCCACCAGAGCAGGTCACCCAGATGGGTGCCCAGCAACAGAGGCTTTGACTGCCAGCTTAGTTGTCCAGATCCCCCACTTCAGGGACAAAGGAATTGAGGCTCCCACAGGTCCCTGAGGCTCCACCCCTGCCCAACCCTGCTCATGTGTGGGTGGTGCCGGTGGTGGGTGGTGGGAGAAGACCCCCTCCATTGGGCCCTGCAGTCTCCAGGTGCCCTGTCCTGCAACATGGATCCCTGGGCTGGCCCTCGGCATACCCTTCCCATAACACCGGGAAGAAGGCAGCCACCAGCAGTCTGGGGCTCCAGGGGCTTGAAGTGAACTGCTGTGGTTATTATCTCTGCAGCATGTAGAGGGCCCTGGATGAGGCAGGGAGCTGGCAGGACCTGCCTTGAGAGCTCCTGCCTTGAGAGCTCCCCCAAGAGAGCAGACATACCCGCTCCTGCCCAGGGAAGCCAACCCAAGAAACGACCCCCAGAAACAAGGTCCTGCCCTTCTCCTACCTACTTGTATCTTCTCTGGGCAGTAGGAGGGACAGCCCTACCTGTATTCAGAGCCTGCTTCAAACCCTGCTCACCTAACGCAGTCCACAAGGCAATTGATAGAAAACCCCCTGCCCCTGGCGAGGAGCCCCTGGGATGACCAAACTCCCCCATGACACCTGAAGCCTTTCCAGGGAGACAGCAGCCCCTCCAGCTACTTTCAGTTTTAGCTCCCTCTCTCCCTTCCCCTGTGCCAGCCCCCCAGCTCACACATGTGGAGTCGTGTGGAGTCTCTCTTCCTAAGTCCCCAAATCTCTGCCTCAGAACATTCCAGCAGATTTAGTGTTCTGCCATAAAAGGAGGTAGGGCAGGGTGGGGGCAGGCACAGCAGCGGGAGCTTCCTGAAGCTCGCATAGGTAGCTGACCAGCCCCTGCTCACTAGGTGGTGGGAGATTCTAGCCCCAACCTGTGCCTATACTGGGCCCCCTTGTCACCAGGGGCTGGAGGGGGCGTTACCTTGTTGAGAGCCCCAAACTGCAGCCAGAACCGCAGCTGGGACATGGTCGTGGCACGTGGGGGGCCCTGGGTCCCCCTGGAAGAGCTGCTGGAGAGTGGATCCCTCATGGCAATGGCTGTGGCTCCAGCATCGCGTCTGTCAGGTCAGACAGAGGCAGCCAAGCTCTGCCTGGCTGTATTTGCATGTCAGTTTAGTCAGCGCTGCGCCTACTTCCTCTCAGGCTGGGCTGACTTTCAGGAAATGATGCCTGGTAAGCCAGGGTGATTACTGGCAATGCAGGAGAATTACCGAATGGGGCGTAGCAGCCACAGGCGCTGTCAACACCACCCTACTGGCCAGAGTGCCCCAGGGCTGGGCACCTGGGACTTGGGCAGAACACCCAGGCGTGCACAGGCCTCAATTTCCCCAGATTACGAACACTCTAGGCTCTGGTCTACATGCCCCAGCCCCACTAGGCCTGACACAGACCCAAAACTGCACTTGGTGTCCCCACAGCAATCACTATGAGAGGTATAGTCATCCCCTGAGTCACATACAAGGAAACTGAGGCCAAGTTGCCCTCAGATCCCCTAAAGGTCCCTCAGGCCAGAGCCTTTCACCTCAATACCCAACCTCCCCTCAGAGTCTTCGCTCAAGCTGTGGTACCAGTTGGATGCTCCCTGCCCAGAAGCCTTTTGGGGGCCCCAGCATTGATGGAGCATGAGGCCCCCATGTTGCCCCTGCAAGTTAATGCCCCGCCCTGCCCCTGGGTCTGGCTGCTAGAGCCTAGCAGGGAGGGTGGGTGCAGGCAAAGCTGGCCCTGCATCTCTCCATGCCCTGGACCTCAGTCCTATACCTGGGCACAGCCACCTGAGACCCTGTACTAGGGTTTGTGGGGCCTTACATGCTAGCTCAATCACTTGGCCAAAAGAATTTGCCAGAAAAACTGGCCCTTCTGCTTGAGGAGTAGTACCCATTTGGACATCACTCTGGAGTCACAGGGGTCATTTGCAATGTCCCCTAAGGTGCTGGAGGTGTAAGGGGGACCTTAGGACAAGAGGGAATGGGAGAATGCCTGACTGTGGAGAGGGGACCCCCATTTGTCCACATCTATGATGAGGCTAAACTGCAGAGGGGCTCCCCTCTGTAAGGGTAAGGAATGAAGGCCCTGCTCCCAGCCTGAGCCAAAGGGGGTAGCCGGCCTAAGGCTGGCAGAGGAAGGAAATGCCCCAAGATGCCCAGGGACCCCATGGCTGGGCCAGAAGGGTCAAGGTCTGAGGATGGGGGGAGTTCCCTAGAGCTCTCAAGGGAAACTGGGGGCCCTAGGCCTCTGGTGGAGGCTCCAGAGGCATGGTCTGGGCACAGTAGCTGCCCCCAGGCTTTCGCTGTTCTCACCCCCAATGCCTTTTGCTATCCCAATAGGGTCTCTCCATGACACAGGCACAGACCCCCTGGCTGCCATGGCTGCCCATCTACCCAGGGGACCAACACTGGCTCCAAGAGGAGTAAGTGGCTACTGTAGCCACTGCCAATGGGGGGAGATGCACAAAGGCCAATGATATATCAGAGATGTATTAATCTAAACTCCATCAAGGGGCCACATTATATCCCCAGATGGCCTCATGCAAAGAGGCAAGAATAACAAGTACTGCTGAGGACCTCATCTGTGGGGTCCTCTAAAGGTAAACACAAGTAACATTTCACCCAGTAGCTCTTGCTAGGCAGGAACCCCAGAGGGACAAAAACGCCTATCATGCAAAAACATAGACACAAATGTGCACAGCAGCACGAGTCACAGTGGCCAAAGTAGAAAAAGCCCAATATCCTGGGCGGTGACTGTGGCTCAGTGAGTTGGACACTGGCCCCATATACCAAGGGTTGCAGGTTTAACCCAGCCCCAGCCTAAATGCAACAACAACAACCAAAAAAAAACAGCTGGTAGCTTGGCACCTGTAGCTCAAGTGACTAAGGCGCCAGCTACATACACCTGAGCTGGCGGGTTCGAATCCAGCCCGGGCCTGCCAAACAATAATGAGGGCTGCAATCACAAAACAGCTAGGCATTGTGGCAGGCGCCTGTAGTCCCAGCTACTTGGGAGGCGAAGGCAGGAAAATCGCTTGAGCCCAGGAGTTGGAGGTTGCTGTGAGCTGTGATGCCACAACACTCTACTCAGGGTAACAGCTTGAGGCTCTGTCTCCAAAAAAAAAAAAAAAAGTCCAGTCTCTCTCAAGAATAAATATACCACATGGTCCAACCATACACTGGAATATCACTCAGCCATGATAAGGAAGGAGGCTCTAACAAAGGCTACAACATGGGCTTGGCATCTGTGGCTCAAGTGGCTAAGGCGCCAGCCACACACACCTAAGGTGGCAGGTTCGAATCCAGCCTGGGCCTGCCAAACAACAATGATGGCCGCAACCAAAAAATAGTCAGGTGTTGTGGCAGGCGTCTGTGGTCCCAGCTACTCGGGAGGCAGAGGCAGGAGACTCTCTTGAGCCCAGGAGTTGGAGGTTGCTGTGAGCTATGATGCCAAAGCACTCTATCCAGGGGAACAGCTTGAGGCTCTGTCTTAAAAAAAAAAAAGGCTACAACATAAATGGATCTTGAGGACGTTATGCTCAGTAAAAGAAGCCACAGAAAAAGACATACAATGTGTGACTCCATTAATGTGAAATGTCCAGAACAGGCAGAACCACAGAGACAGAACACAGATTTGTGGTAACCAGGAGCCAAGGAGGTTGTGGGGGCAATTGCTGATCACGTTCCGGGATTAGATAGAGATGGTGGTTGCAAAACTCTGTGAATATACTTTTTATGGTTTGTAAAATTTGCCTCAAACATATTAAAGTTAAACTTGATGGTATAACGTTTGAGGAGGTGCTACCCAAATGTCTGGGAGCTGACAACTCTGTCCTCCATTCCCTGGTGTCCAGATGACTCTCCTGCCAGGTGGTCTAGAGCCAGGGTAAGAGGTCCTTAGGAGACAGGAATGCTTGGGGGGAGTGGGAGGGGCAGATACTCAGGCTGGGGCACTCTCACCCACTCAGTACCAGATCCTTACTGACCCTTGTACACAGAACTGCCCCCCCAACCTGCCTGCCATGGTGGCACAGGCTGGGTATCCCTTGGAGAATACCTGTCTCCTACACTTGGCCCGGCATTGGGGATTGGGCCGCACTGCCTAGGAACAGAGAGAGATAGGCAGGCTAGGGAAGCCTGAACCACCCAGGCCAGGCATCACCCTCATGGCCTCTTGCCTCCCATTCTGAC